AGAGAGAGAGAGAGAGAGAGAGACGATACCGGAGTGGAAACGCATGGAAATGAACGTTATTAAATTGTTCTACCGTGACGCCGAATCCACCCGCAGACATAAATTGACACCGACAACGTCGAATTAGGTGCGGCGGGTTGTGGGGCAGTCAGATTGGTACAGGTGAAACTCAACGCGCGTGTATTCGCGCCCTCGGATTCCGCGAGTACACGCATATACCTCCGCGACAGGTCTGAATTTGTGTTATTAATGGATTTGTTTGCGGTGCCCCTACCGCGACAATCAATATTTATTTATCGAACGTAGCGACAAGAGAATGTCCACGTTGCACCGGCGAGCAGGAAAAGGATGACCAGGGAAAACGAAAAGAAGGACGGAGCTGGGCAAGGGGACACCGTAAATAAATAGTCAGCGTATTTATTTAATGAAACAAAAAACAAATTTATGCACCGACCGAAAACGCGGATTCTGTGATCAACGTGAGCCCCGTTGTCAAAAAGAGAAAGCCAGCTCTCCAGTTTCCAAGATTTTATCTTTTCTTCAGACTTTCTTTTTGTTCGAGTAAAAGGCAGCAAACAAATGAGAAGCGCTTTTCTCGCTTGATGTACGACCTTCGGTCGATCTAGATCGACAATTTCGTTTGCCCACAAAGCATCGGATTCACGGATATTCTCGATATAAAATGTATTCTTCCCCTTCTCAATACTTGATTACTGTCATTATATATATGTTTTGCAACAAGTAAACGCGTAACCATCGAATGTCTCGAAATTCGCCCCTGCGGAGTCTCTCGAGTAACAAGCATCGGGAAACAAGCAACCTGGACAAACATTCTACCGCGCGAGGGCACGCGATATACCACGACAACCGAATAGGATGAATATTTGACAAAGTTTGCGGCCATCTCTCTGTACACGGAGATGGTGCGCTCCGTCTCGTGTGGCAGTTCGGACGATACTCCGCAGCATCCGCGTGTACAGGAACGACTGCAGAGAACAGCATTTACGCTCCCACCAAGACTCCACTACTCTTAGCAGCCTCTCCGCCTCTACCAACACCATCGAGTTTCGCCTCCGCCGTTACTACTACCGCCACCACCATCGCCGTTCAGCACCACCGCCACTACCACTACCACTACCGCCGTCCGCGATACCTCCACCACCGTTCGGCAACCTCCACCACCATCGCCACCACGTTCGCCCAGCACCGGCGCCCAAGAGGCGAAGGACCCCGAGGTTTCCGCGCTACGAGTCAGTTGGCCGACATGAGCCGCGCGTGCCGGGGCTCTCGGGTGTTTATTCGCTCTTAACAGCTAATCCCGAAACGCGTACCCTCGTACATTCGTAACGCGCGCGTGCACCGTATACCGCCGGTGAAACGTATACGAGGGGTGAAACTGAAACAGTTTCTCGCAGCTTTTGTACCTGTAGGGAGAGAGATTTTTTGACGTTCAAACTCCGGGGATCGGACTGCCGAGTTGCGAACGGCGTGAATAGCTTCTCCGTGACGAAGGGGATTTGGTGTGTTTTTTTTACGCGCTGCCAAGATCAACCGCCACACATATGTGAACCGAAATTGTGACGGCGATGTAATAATTTCTCGCTCGATCGACGAACGAATACGTGTCTCCGACAATCGTGGCGCCCGGGAAGAAAAAAATGACGTTACCACGCGCGGTGTAACGAACTTGCAACGATGATAACGCCAGTGTCAGTGCAGTGGGGTTAAAGTGCCAGCCGGTTTATGGATAACCACGCTTCGCTGATTGGCTGCACGAGTAAGTGATATCCGATGTTAGTTGCGTAATGCGTCGTGTAGCAAATTTTTCTTGTCCTCCGCGCCGACCCAGGAAATGTGTCTCGATAGCGTATGTAAAGCGACGTTTTTACCTAAGGCGCAAGTAGAAACACGATATGAATTTCGCTTGCAAAATGCTGCTGTATGAAAGCAAAGTATTGCAAAGTATGTGCAAAGAATTTCACAAAATTGCGAATTTCGGAGTAACAAAATCGGAGCAACGTGCATTCAGATTGTAGCCATTTGAGTATCGATTCGACGTGAAGAAAATTAATATAGCGCACCTTAATATCCAACTTCCTAGCTTAAAAGATTATATATTTTTTTTTTTTTAACGAAAAATGTCTTCCTCTTCTCGTCTACTAATTAAGACGTTTCAATGTTGGAGATTGGTCGCGACGTTTCAGACAACTAATCGGGATAATTCATTACACGCTCTCGAGGGACTAAGAATATTCCCGATTGATTCCAGTGGCTGCACATTTTCAAAAGCCCGCTAGGGAGCGAATTGAAAGATGGACGTTAACATTTAACCCCTGCACTCCTGCTGAGCCGCCGACATCGACGCGATCCGAAAAGTCTCCTCGAGTGCCTATTAAAAATTCGCGGCGAATCGTAAAACTTACGCTCGACGAGGCGAGCCTACTCTGTCCGGTTTATTCCAAAAATACCGGTTGTTACAATGCGCGACTCTCGATGATCACTTTTCGATATCAACTACCGGATTTGCGCGAAACGGCTGTAATCTTCAACCGCATGCAGCCGCTGACGCTCTGGCAGGCTAAAGTACGCTATATTACAGGTCTGCGCATTAAATGAATGAAGTCGTTGGAAAAATTACACGAGGCGGCATTAACTCGCGATATACGCTATTACTTGTTGCTTCATCGGGGCTATGTTTATATTCCTCCTTTACCGCCGCTGGCGTGAGACCTCGCCGAAGAAACGCGAAATTGCACGGAATGCCTTAAGACGTTTATTCGAAATCCATTTTACTTTTATTGGACAAAGTACAACGTATACGCGGTATACAAGCGCTGCGCGTGTAATAAAAAATACAGTCGAACATGTCAATAAATGGCTCCCGGGCGACGGGGGTAACTACGACGAACGTGCGCGAGCACGCGTAATCGTAAAATATCCTCTCGGTATGCACCGTCAAATAGAGATTTACAAGTACTCGGGGGCACTTACTAGGATTACGTATACAGGAGCACGTACAGCTTCGGCAGAGCTCTCTTAACGGCAGCAGTAAGTTGCCCGCGATTTATATCAGATACATGCCTGCATCTTTTACCCCAAAGCTTTAAAATTGCACGCTCGCCGTTACCTACCCCCCTCCCCCCCCCATATCTATTTGTAAATACGCGAAATACGTATGCACATCATATCGGGGAGCGGGGGGGGGGGAGGCCCCCGGAGGAAGGGGGAGAGAGGGAGAGGGGAAGTTCTCCGAAGGTCTGGAGATTACCAGATATCCATACGCGCGCGATGTCGATTCTCGATAAAAGCGGCGTTATTACGTTGTTAGATTGGCTGGATCGTCGACGGTGATTTGCAAAACGATCGATTCAATTACAGTCCCATCAACGGTATTCCGGTAGGACGATCATCATATCTATCGTTTGTGATAGATCAGTACGTTTGCACGGTTATAACGAGGAAAATGACGCTGAAAGCACGGCATTATCTCCAACAAATCGGTAACATTACGCTTCCAACTTTATATCAGGCATTTATTGACTGTGAATCTTTAGTCGTGACACTCACGACCTCACGACGATCGCTCGTAAAGATCGCGTCTTTGTGGCACGAGTAAAATAAATCGCTCGGGATAGAAAATGCCCGATCTATCACGACGCGCGCGCGTCGAATGTCATTAATTAATAATAACCGCGCTATCTCTTTAAACTGTGCAACGGTAGAATGTATTAATTATATCAATGGCACTGTATTAATAATTACCGCTTTGTTCCATTTCGCGGAGTCATGATCGTTGAAATATTTTCGCGTACCATTCACGATGGAACGTTAACCAATTATACCGTGCATATAAATTTCACGATAATTATACATGAAAGATACGATTATACATACATGAAAGAGAGAGAGAGAGAGAGAGAGAGAGAGAGAGAGAGAGAGAGGAGAGATAGAAAGCTTCGGTATTTTCATCATATCGCAAAAAAAATTCGCACGCGATTGGAATCAGATGCGATCGATGAATGTGCAATCTGGAGCAGTCCAATGACGCATGATTCCGCCGTTATAAATAACTTCGGAGCGCGATACGGAAGATCGCGCGGTTTCAAAACGATTACGAGAGAAACAGATCTAGTCGTTGACTAAACATCTCGACCGGGGCCACGTCCGCGATGCACGCTCGATGATCGAAAGGAGGGGGAACCTTATTTGACTTTGTTACAGACTTTATTAAGCGGCTAACTGTCGCTACATAGTCGCATAATGATCGTCACGACGTGGAACCTTATGTATGTAGGAAAGAGCTCTCGAAAATAATGAAGCGGAGGCGCAAGGCGCGTTATGGCGATGGATCCCTTTATTTCTCTGCTTTTACTGCGTTAGTCGCTTTCTGTAAATACACCGAGCGTGACACGCGCGCGCTTCTTTGAATGTCCCGTCACCGACAGGAGTTGCCTCTCCAACCAACTCCAACATTGCCCTCCTCGTCCGTGTCGGTTCCGTATCGACGCTGGCCGCGCTTTTAACTTCCGCTTTTCTTCTCGTGTAACAGAGTGAAAATAATTATACACTGGAACGGTTCGCGTTTCTTACAAGATGCTCGTGGATTTTCTGTGTGCAACAGCTGAGGGCAAGAAATTTAAATTACACTAACGCTTCCTCGCAGAAAGGGAACAAACTCGACAAAGCTTGATGATAAATAAACACTGTGTAGCATAAACGCTTCATGAATGAAACGTACAAATACTACGTTACGTTTTATTTACTTTTCAATTTTAATAGCCAATTCAATGATAATCAATTAAAATTAAAGTAGTGCTATTTCTAACTGGTAATTTCAGATATATCGATCGGCGAATTTTAGAGGAGCAATTCACATAAGAGCTTATATATCGCTTCCCTTGCTCCCTCGTAACGTGCAATTTCAGCTTCATTGCCGTGTGCGCGCTTTATAATGCGTTCGTTGAAATTCCCTTCCTAGCTATCATGAATAAAAATATCATGTCGGGATATTCTGGAGTAAAACTATTACATGAAACCTACACTCTTGAATCTCCACGGGATCCGTGTGGCTAAGCGGGTGGCCGGCCCGATACTCCTGGCGGGTTAATACGCCATTCACACGCGATATTATTCGCGGAAGATTACATATTCGTGCGCATTGGTCACGTTCGTGTCGGGTCCGACGATTTTATGCAGACGTCTATCATTTTATGTCGCCGCCACCGGCGTTTTCGCGGAGTGTGTTTCTTCTCACTCTCTCCGCGCGACGCGCCCGTTTCCTGAAACTTCCGTTCTCCGTCTTTACGACGATACGTTACACGTGCCCGTGTCAAGAAGATCGTCGCGCAAATGCTCTATCGAGGAAGACAGGAAGCCCCGTACCGTACGTGCTGGGAGTGCGTGAGCCCCGGCTCAACCGACGATCGTGCTCGTCGTCCCCCCGTACCCCCGCGCTTTCCGTGCTCCGACCATTAAAAACTCAGTATGGTTTCGCCTTATCTCGCCGTCAAGATCGACGAAGCCCGCCGGGCCGCCACGCAGAGCGCCATGTATCGCGGTTTCGATCGGTTCCCTTCGCAGGAAACACCGTTGTTGCATTGGTTCGAGAGGACCTCGCATCGTCGAAAGGGGCCCACCTGGCACGCGCAGAGCCCCATCTGCGGCGGCCGATTCATTCGGGGCCTCCGTGAGAACACGAAGTGCCTACCTGCTCCGGACGGGCGCACAAAAGAGGCGCACAAGAGAGCCCGGTGTGTCCGCGTGCGAAAAATATATTCACGCGTCGACGAATTTCGGCGGTGGCGAAACGGCCGTGTCTTCGGGCCGATCGGGACGACCGATCGATCGGACGATCGATCTTTAAAGGCCCACTGGTTCGGTAACGGCGTAATCTGCTCGGAGAACACGACCGATACAAATCGAAATCCGACGAGGTAAGATCAAACGGCAGATGGGCCAGACGTTAAGCACTTTAAAGGATTATTTGATTGATCGACAACAAACGACGCCGGGGAATAATCTAAAGAGTTAATGTATGAAGAAGGAAGACAAAATGAAGATAATAAAGAAACGAGTAACTACATTTTCAAATAAATTCGCAATTCGCGAAACGCTTTTATTCCCCGAGGCATCGATACGATAAAACAACACGGGTATAAAATGCTGAAATGAAAAATGCGTTTTAACGATATAGCCACCATATCAGTGAAATTTTAATAGTTCTAGACAAGAGACTCGGGAGTTTTCCACCACCACAGGTTACCTTACCGCAGGAGTTTACCGCAGCAGACGAGACGGCGGGAAAGTCACGCGCGACGCGAAAAACCTCACGGAAGAGGAGCATCCGTCGTAAACAACTTTGCGCCATTTCCGACGCGCGAACTTTTACTGCACTCGGGATTTCTTATCGGCGCAGATAAAATCGGGAGAACTTTACAGGTTCGCGCGGGAGGCAGAGAAGTAGGAGATCGTCGTTCTTTACACGTCGTAATATCCGAACGCCTGAAAAATCTCATACGCTCGCCGCGCGCGAGAGAGCTTCTCGTTTACGTCCGATATATGTGCGGTCGAGGTGAACGGCGGCGCGTCGTCCTCGTTTCCTCGTATCTCCTCCCCGTCCTCCCCCCCCCCTCCCTCCTCCTCCGGCCTCGTCGTATCGTGCGCATAGCTCCATCGCGGAGCTGAAGGAGATCTCGCCCGGGGCGATCGTAGTCGCATTGTATCTTATATTCATGCAAAAACGTCGAAATAACTTCCAGGCACGGCGCTCGCCTCGCC